CTCCCGGCATCGCTAGTAGGAGCAAGGACGCTACTAGGGGCTCCTGGCATCGCTACAGTACTAGGAGCAAGGACGCTACTAGGGGCTCCTGGCATCGCTACTAGGAGCAAGGACGCTACTAGGGGCTCCTGGCATCGCTACTAGGAGCAAGGACGCTACTACAGCCAAAGGACGCTTTGGGACTCTTGAGTCCTCCAAGCTGCGCAGCCGCTGCCTTGCTCCGAGGTCACGGGATCTCGGAAGTTTCGCTAGTCGCTAGTACCTCTTTGCATGTGCTGAAAAATGGTGCGGCGCATAATATGGCTGCATCAGCACGTGTTTCTTCCTCACAAGGTCTGCCAGCGTTTTTGGTTGGGTGTTCATTCCCTGAAAGTGATTGATTATCGTGTATGCATTCTCAATTTAGTGCCCATAGGCCCATAGTGCTTAAATTGAATAATCTGAATATTGTGATCTTGGAGCCCTTGTAGATTTGATGAAAGAAGGGTGTGTGTTTGGAAGGAGTTCAAGGTGAAGTGACCTGTTACACTTCGGGGGGGAATGCCATAGCATAAGGTCCCCGCTGGCTTGAACAAGCGGCCATCCATCCAGCATTCTTGGCTATGGCATCTGACAGTTCATGGCCAACCTGCCCGATAGACAAGGGGAGCGGGCCCTTCTGCTTCTGATTGTTCCCTGTGTTCTTTCGGTACCAAGCTTTCAGAAACAAGCACTGCAAAACACGTGAAGTGAAAAGAATGAGGGATCAAGCCTGGTAATTCAATAGCCTATGCCAAAAGTCTGCGAAACCTCCTCAGGTGACACCCAGCAGAACACAACTCGGCACACTCAGACACTCAGCCACACTAAGTGAAACGAGTGCAGACTGATTTTGTCGACATCTAATGTTGCCCAACCACCTCGTCGGTAATGCTTCGTCGGCAACTCCCCACCATCACCACGTCCAGTTCGCCAAATCTGCAGGATTTTATGTGGGGCTGTGCAAAGCAGAAAGGCCTGCCCATGTTTGGGAAAGGGAAGTTCCAACATGTTCGCCTGAGAGGCACCAGGCGGAAGGAAGCCTTCAAAGCCAATGATTTTACATAAATTGGCATGGCTGGACAATGCTGAGACTTACCATGGCAAAGCTTATGTCTAGAATCTAGATGCGCCAAGTGGCCTCTGAGATTCCCAAGTATTGCAACATCGCTCTCTGAATGGGAATGTGAGTTACCAGCCTCCTTGGTGGCCAAACAGTAAACAGGCTGCAGTTCCAGCCGCTAAAGCCCGCTTCAGGTCCTTTTGCAGCTTGTGCAGGTTTGGTTGTAGAATTGCAAATGAGCCAAGGGTCTTGGATGATCCTTTCAAGATCTTTGCAACAGTCCAGGCAGCGGGAAGGAAGTCGAGAAGTGTATGTTGGTACTCCATTCTCAGCAGCACGGCCAAAAGGGCAACCAACAAAACAACCCCCACCGTGAAGGTGCATCGATGGCTGCAGGTCCTATCATGTTCGTCCATTCTTCTGGCCCACTCATGCCCACTCTACAGAATTGCACAATTATCATAAAATTATATAGCGTGCACCATTGTGGTCATGGAACCCAGCCGGCAGGTGAGAGCTCGAAATCACCAGCCTAAGTTGAATCTCTGCATGTTCCAGCAAATGGGACAGTATGAGGGCCGGTGTCAGCTCTGAATGCTATTCTGAGAGCACCAGGAAACGTAATTACATCAATTGGTTTTTGACCTTGATGACACCAACACCTTCAAAAGGCAGAACACTGCGCAAAAATCCTTTCTCATTCAACAAAACTAGACAAAGATGGCGAGCAACACGTCATGGTCAACCAGTATAGGTGCTAAAGCGTGTTCACTGTTCTCCGCCGCAGCCACATGCTCGCTAGTCCTTTCAGGCCAGTTGTCATTCAACTGTGCACGCGTCGCCTTTCCCGCTCTCTCTCTCTCTCTCTGATGGGCATCAGTTTGTCATTCTGTGCCTGAAAGCATACGTGAAGTGAGTAGAGTTGGCCGCAAAAACTGATCTTGGCCAGCGCATCCTCAGCTACCCACCGTACAAGTTGTGGCTTTGGGACGCCATTTTTGTACGTCCCAAATTGGCGCTGTGGGGTGTTATCCCTGGCGCACAAAAATGGTCAAAGATTCGCACACCTCCCGAGGTTCTGCAAAACTTGCTCAAAGTTCTGCAGCTGTCTGCTCAAGTCTAGATTCTAGATATATAGGCAGCTCGCAGGCAGTTTTGCCCTGATTTCATTGCATCATTTAGCAATCTCTTGGTGCTGCACGGTATTAAATGAAAGGCAACATCGAAGAATTCCGACGCCCAACGGACGGGATGTTCAAGAGGCTGTCTCAATTGCACTTAGTGCATCCTAGCAGCATGTTCACACAGCCACCGTGCAACTCTGCAAGTTCGGCATTTAGACCAACAGCTGGATCCGTGAGGAAGTAGTTGGACCCATCACCACAGGCATAATCAGCATAGCTGTCCAGAACAGACAAATTTCCTGAAACTTGTTGGCATGATCGTGACGCCGCTGCAATGCTTCGTGCTAGTTGCAAGTTGCAAGTTGTCTGAGATGTGTCCCCCACCCGCAGCCCAAGAAATTGGAACAAAACCAGCAAGCAAGCAAAAAGTACTGGAGTATACTCGAGTCCTCCAGCAAACGAACGAAAATCTTGCGCCAACAAGTGCACAATAAAGCCACACAAAAAGGGAGTGAGAGTCAGACTGGAAAGACAAAATTAATAATCTAGAGTAATTAGTCTAATCTGAAGTAGCAGCGCACTATTGGTAGGCGGTGATATCAAAAACTCATGTAGAGAAGGTACACAAAATACAGGCACACGCATAAATAGTGCATCATCCTTTCATTCTTTCTGGCTTGTTTCTGGGAGGCGGCCATGATTCTTATTGTCTTGCATTGTTTTCCTAACTTGGGGGGCAGTACATCAGAAGCGTTGTTTATCTCTTGATTTCGTGCGACAGGCTTCGAGATGTCAATTGAGGATATTGTCGGCCTATTCTCTGGCAGGATGGAGCTGGTTGCTGCAGCGCGATCGGCGGAAACTGTCGAAGACTCTCCCACTGCAGCGGCTTGCCCCTGCTGGGAGATCCATATAAGGCTCCTCGGACTGATGTGCAATTACCTAGAAGCAATGGCCTCCAACCTACTAGCGATGGCTTCCAACCTAATAGCGATGTGCGTCGAAGCGAAGCTACTACAGTAGCGATGGCCTCCATCCTAATAGCGATGGCCTCCAACCCAC